GCTTAATTTCGGATACTTAGTAATGTTAGGGGTTGCTTATTTTCGGGGGTTGCTTATTTTCGGAAGAATACGGTATTTACTATTTGAGCATTTATTTTAATGTAGTACTATAAATTTATTAGAAGTTACTTAGTAATGTTAGGGGTTGCTTATTTTCGGGGGTTGCTTATTTTCGGAAGAATACGGTATTGTGCATCGGGATCTTCGCAGGTGCAATATCCTCAGAGACAAGCATTTCATTACCATTTGCTGGTGGACTTGACTGTGCATTAGATTTAGTGTTGGAATCAGTGAGTGATAGAAGGGAGATTGTTTATCAAGAGTCAGATGATTTGATTAGCTATTGAGAAGTTTTTACTTGACTTTACATGATTCAGTTCAGTTGACCTTCCTTTAGAAAATACAAATTGTTAAAAGTATGCTAGCAGAATGTTAGATCTTTGGAAAGTGCATGGGAATCCAACTTATGAAAGGAGCTATTTGAACTCGCTAGAATCGTGATTATGAAGGGTTGAAGATTAGGATTGGTGAGGTTATCTTGAAGGTGTGGTAATTAATCTAACAAGATAAGCAACACGAGAATTTTTCATAAGCCGTACTGCTGTGTGGCACAAGTACAATTAAGCTAAAAAAACGATTTCTTTGATGTTACTTTTATAAAATAAAACCAAGCCTTGAGTGCCCAAATAGAAGATTTGTTCGATTAACCGTTTTGTCTTATTCTTTCATTTAAAAAAAAATTTTTTAAAAAAAGGATTATTGTTTTATAATTTGTTGTATAAATATATTTATGATTTTTTTTTCCTTAACGTTAACAAATAGTCAAAAATGAAACAAATCCTAGGAACCAGAAGATTTTCATCCATCTCTGACTGATTAAAATATCTATCGACCCTAACCTATTAAAATAAATATATTTGAAATATCGATTTGTTTGAAAAAATAAAAAATTTTCATCAATATAACCAACTATCTTTAGAGTTGGCAAATCGGTCTATTATATAACCTTGAGATTTATTTTCAACATATTAAAAATTGTATTCTAAATCAACAAGCATGGTTCTTCAACGAAAGGTTTGATTATTTCTTCAAAGATGTGCTGATCCAACAATAGGAATTAAACGATTGGTGGTATCGATTCGAATGGCAGCATAGAGGTAGCATACATATGCACAGAATCGGAAAGAAGCGGAACGCGCCTGCTTTTTTTTTTCAACTAAATTTTGGCGCAGAATACACTCATTGTTTTTTATAAAGAAGTTGCTTATGAAACTAAAAATAAAGGTATCAAACCACTCTCTTCGGAACCAAATCCTGAGATCGTAAAGTTACATGATTAACATTTGTTTCTATAGCCGTTGAAAGTTGAGGGGATATAAACTTGTTTTCAATTCATCCGCAGCATCAGCAACCAAAATACTACCTTAGATATATCAAAAAGGTTTTATACAAGTTTATAATACTTTTGGTGAAAAGTATTTTCACCAAAATTAAAGAATTTTAAAGATAATTCAACAATCTTCTTTCTTTTGTTTTTTAACGTTGAATCTTTCCCAACCAACATCCTCAACACCTTGATTTTCATCTTATCAATTTTTTAACTTCCAAGTTGACACCTTTAATAATTCTAGCATTTTCTTTTCTTTAATCGCAGCTTGTTAAATATAAGATAATAGTTTTGAAGTGTCACTCTTCATGTTCTTTCGTTTAAAAATTTTGGGTTAATCGCGTTTAGCATCTTGAATAGGGGCGAAATGTTGTTAGGAATAATTGATGGGATCATTTATACCCACCATTTTTCGCGTGTGAGATTAATTATTCTTAAAAAGAATACCCTTGTCCGAAAACCATCAATATTTATAATTTTTTTTTTTTTTAAAAAAATAATCGACAAACTTATGATTGGATATTTGCCACTTCGTGGCAAAATCCACCAATCAAGTAAATGCATTGCTCATAGGTTACTGTCATTCCATGGCTAAAGTATAATTATCATCCGTGGTCGTGTTATTTATAACATTTTACTCGAACAGAAATTTAGCATGTTAAAAATTAAGTTAAAATTTAAAGTTTATTGAAATCAATAATCAATATACAGTAAATACAAAATTGTCCGGTTAGGAAATAGTGTGAAAATTTTATAACCACGTGAGTATTTCCGTTTGTCTCGCCGCGTGTACGTAAATATTAATATTAATAATATTAATAATAAAAAATAATAATAAAAAATAATAAAAATAAAAAAAATAAAAATAATAATAATAATTATAAAAAAATTTTTACATATTTAATTAATTAATTTATTTATATTTATTGATTTTAAACAAAAAATTTCGCTCCGGACTTAAAATGGTTTCAATTTCCTAGTTTTATAAATATTATATGTCAAGTGAATAAAAATTAAGACTCATTGTGGCTCAAGAAGGTTTCTAAAGAGTACAAAGAGAAAAAATTAAGTTCATTTAGTATCACGAATCGCATGCTCGGTAAAACGATAATTAATTAATGAACAAGAACATACCTGGATTGAAGAAGTAATATTCCAAATTATCTTTTG